AGCCCCCCAACCGGTGTTGCGACGCATACCATCGCTTGGGTCATCGGGGGTATCGTGACCCCCTTGACCACGCGAATTTTCCGTGACGGTACGTTCGTTGGGAACTGCGCGCGCTTCCGGTCGGCCGAATTTTCCTCCTGCGGGAGCTGCTGCGACGGTCCCCTCGAGGCCATCTTGCGGTGGTGCCTCGAGGGTGTGACTCCCGTCAGCGCTACGGACGGCGCATGATGGAACAGCACCTTCCTCTGCGGTGGCAGGATCGCCTTCACGTGGCGATCCAGGAACGTGGTCCCGAGGATACAGTCCACCGCGAGGTTGGTGACGACCAAGAACGGCACGCGCGCGACGAACTCACCAATCCGGACGTACAGTTTGAGCTCGCCGAGGGCCTTCATCGACCTATTCGAAGCGTCGATGAGAGGCGGGCTCCGCGCGGACTGGATGGCAGCGCGCCACGGTTCTGCCACACAGCGTAGGTGGATTAGATTCGGGCCGGCGCCCGAATCTAGAACCGGCGTGATGGCGCGCATCATCGCGCGTCGTCGTCCGACCGTTGCGGTGACCTTATAATTTTGCTTCTTGAAGAAGCAAATTGCCGCTTCGTCCGTTCGGCTCTGCGATGGCGCGCGTACCGAAGCGGTCGACGGGGTGCCTTGTTTATTGAGGCTTGGCACGGGGAGGATCGTCGACGCCTCTACGCGTCCTCCCCGGCTTCCCCCGTCAACCCAAGGTCCTCGGGCCCCTCGTCCGTCAGCGGTAGCGCGGGTTCTTCCGATTGGACGACCTCGCGCGGCTCGACCACGTTGATGCCCGTGGGAGCCTGCGCACGCGAATTTCGCCACGCGGTCGGCGGTTGGCGCTCGAACGGCGAACCCGGGCGGAGACCTTGACGGATCCGAAGCTTTTGATAATTGGCCTCGCGGGCCTGCAAAAGCTTCGAACGCAGCGCGCTATCCGCCACCACAGGACATTGCTCCTGTCGGTGGGTCAGGTCCAGACAGAACCGGCACGGCGGGGGTCCAGGTAATCCTTGGTTGAAGAACCGGACCCGCTGGTTCTGTACTGGCCTTCCGTACGGATGTGCGCGCGCGTCACCGTGTTGGGCGGGCGCCATCGGCGCGCCCGCCGGGTACGAGGCAGGTGACGGATGGTAGCTAGTCGGCGGCGAGCTAAGCGAGCTCGGCGTCGCCGACTGGTCCGTCACCGCCAGTATCTCCTCCGTTTCGGTTCCGCGCGCTGTCGGGAGTTCAGACAGGGACTCGACCGACAGCACAGGCCTTGTCCGCGCGTTGCGCGTGAATCTTCTCACCGAATCGGACGGTGCTTGAGGCGACGCGAGCGAGGTCGCCTGTCTTCGAGCCGAGCGGTGCGTCTCGCCTATCGCTTGCGCGTAGCGTGCCACCGCTTGGTAGTCCACGCCCGGATGCGTCGCGAGATAATTCCGCACCTGCGCGCACGTCGCTGGCAGAAGTCCCTCAACAAAAAGGGACCTCAGGCGCCTGTCCGAAAATAAGGTTCCGCAGCGCAACGCCTTGTCCCACAACTGGTTACTGTACACCTCCTCCGTCATATTAGAGCTCTGACGGAAGGAGGTGACATCACCGACCGCTTCGGAAATAACTTCGTCAGTCGCGTACGTGCGCAATAAAAAGTTAACAACTTCCGCGTAGGTTTCCAGCATATCGCGCTGCTCCGCATCGACCGCCATGGTGTTCCCGTGTAGCCTGGACTGGAGCAAGGCGTGAGCCTGCCCAGTCAAATAGAACTGGAAACACCATACGGCCGCGCCTTCCCTGACCCCATTGTGGTCGCAGGCCATCTTGAAGCGCGCGAGGAATCCTAGCACCGCGATTGGATCTTGACCACCGAATGTGTGGGTTTTCAGCTGGACGTCCAACTTCTTCCGATATCGGTTAACTCGCCGCGCGGTACTCGCGTCGTAGCGCGCGCTGCGATTTTCCAGCCTATACGTGCGGTAGTCGACGGCCTTGGTTAACAGGTCGTTCAGCGGCCTGATCACCGGCAGCCGTTTCGGATCCCGCCTCGGGGCAGACCGGCGGTCTCTGCCCCTGCGGTGGCGGTCTCCTTCTCCGCCGGGGCTACTGTAGCCCTCCGGATCGGAGTCTTCTCGCCGGAACCGACGTCGGTCGCGCGCATTGCGACCTCTGCGGTCGCCTCTGCGCGATCCGTCCGACTCGGTGTCCTCGTCATCGGAGGGGTATCCACCTCCTCCGGCATCGCGGTATCGCGTATAGCGTCCTTCGCGGTTATCATCGGAGGGGTAACCGACCCCTCCGGCATCGCGGTATCGCGTGTAGCGTCCGTCGCGGTTATCATCGGAGGGGTAACCGACCCCTCCGGCATCGCGGTATCGCGCGTAGCGTCCGTCGCGGTTCTTGCGCGTCGCCCTGTGGCGACGTCTTGTGTCTTCTTCCTCGGAGGGGTTTTCTGTACCCTCCGAGGTGTAGCCTTGAGCGCCGGGTGCGCTTCTTCTGCTCGACCGATACGGCTGTCGCTTTTCTGTCGCGAAGCGCCCCAGGCGGTTTTCTGTCCCGCGGGGGCCAGCCGTATCGGCGAGTACGGGAGGGCCATTTTCTGTGGGCCCTCCTGTAGCACCATAAATTGGTGGGAGGTAAATGGTCTTACCCTCCGGGTGAGGGGCCATTGTACCGATCCCGGGTGCGGCGCCGATCGGTTCAGCGTGCGTTAGCGTAGGATCCGGAGCGGTCGAGTCGCGCTGCTCGCGTGCGTCGACTCCTGCTCCGGCGAAGGTCGTGGCCAGACGATTGGCCACCGCGGAGCTGATCGCTCCCTTTAGAGCCGTACCGGACGGGGATTCTTCATCCACAGTGGTGAGCGCGGTCACCACCTCGCATTGGACTTGAGCGGGTAGAAGTTCGTCCAAAAGCGATGGTATCGCGCTGCGTACGTGCGCGTCCACGAGCGCGGGCACCGTTCGGTCGAGGCATACGCGCGCTACCTGGGGGAGTTCCGTAGCGAGGAACTCCTCGACCCAGGCCTGGATGCGCGGCTGAATCGCGTCGACCATCCATTGGACGCGATTCTCGGTGCCTGCCGACACGGCCGGCGTAACATCCGATGCAGACGCTCGCGTGCGGCCCGGTCGCGGTGGCGGTCGCAGCAGGGCTTCCGGGTTCTCCACCCGGAGGCGCGGTGCGCCACTGCCACTGCGGGTGCTCAGACGCCCGGAGGCGGAGTCTCCCCCTTGATCCGGTCGGTTCATCGTCGAATACGCTTCGCGATCGACGCGGTGATTTCTCGACCTTTTCCGTCCGTACGGTTCTGCGCGCGATCGGGCGACACCGCGTGCGGCTCAACCTCGAGAGTTATCCCCTCCACAAGAGTACCAAATGTGGGATAACTCCTCTCCGCCCTGGGTTGGGTGAGAGGCGGAGGCTTTAGCGAGGGAGCACGCAGCGCGGACGCGACGCGCCAATTGAACCGATCGGACGAGCTCGCGAAAAGGGAGTGGCTCACTGGCCGGTTACGCGCAGTCGCCCCGTGGTGCGTGAACGGGAGCGACCGGTAACGGGTTAGAAGCCAGCGCGCGCGACAGACAACCGAAAACGGACGTACGTACGCGCAAAAAGGGACGGGGGCGAGCTTGCCCCCGTTTACTGGTGGGGACGGGTGCCAGGTCT